GGCGGGGTATGGAGGGACCCCGCTTTAGCGCCTTCCTCCGGGCTGGCGCGCGAGACCCCAGCCGCTACAGGGGAGGTCGCTGAGCTGCCTGCCAGAAGCGCCGTGGATTGCTTCAGCGGCAAGAACCTCTCTACTCTCCCCGGCCCCGCTCCCTGCCCGTGACTCAGCCTGTGTTTCACTAGTTTGAACAAATACATGCATCTGCAGCTGGAGGGAGAGGGAAGCCTCCCAGCTGATCAACACCCCCTGGTACAGGCAGAGCCTCTGAGCTGAGATGTGGCCTGTGTCGGGTTCCAGATCCTCCCAGTCACAGGGTTTGCTGGGCTTGTATGTGTGCGAATATAGTCCCCACCTGCATAGGGAACACACCCTGTTTCATTTAGATCTATTTCCTAAAGAGTTGCTCAGGGCAGGCTTGCAGGGCAATAGCTGGATCACCTAGAGACTGATCCAGCAAAGACTTAAGCAGGTGAATAATTTTACTTAGGTATTATTCTGATTTAAAGGAATAGGAATGTGGTGTTGGGTAACATTATTCACATGTGTAAGCATTGGATGGAGCCCTTAGGGCAGGGCTACTCAACTTTGGAAGCCTCAGGGACCACAATGATACTCACAGCACATGTGGAGGGCAGCAACTTAAGTATGGTTGAATGTACATGCAAATCTATGCAAATAGCTTCTTTCACACTAACCGCCATGAATACAAAGCTTAAGGCAAGACTACACAACACACAGGCCCCATTTAAATCAGTTCTGCTGATATTAATAAAATGCAATGTTTACCTGATTTCCACCAGATTACAGCACTTTTAATGAGCAATGACAGTCCAGGAATTTAACTACTAAAACAGGTATCAACAGGAGACCATTATACTGATTACTTTTTTGTTTTGGCTGTGGGCCACATGTTGAGCCCCGCGTTATCTCAAACTGCATCGTGAGCCACAAACAAACGGGCTGCGGGCCGCATGTTGAGAAGCCCTGCATTATGGAATAAAAGACTAGCCAGAAGGTCCAGATCTTCAAAGATAGTATTCAGGTTCCTAACAATATAAATACCATAGAGGGCTTAAATCCCCAATTCAAGTAAAGTATTTAGGCACCTGCTTACATCCATCCTTACTCAGGATGGCACTTGTTTAAAATTTCAGCATGTTCTTAATTCCCATTTTTACTTCAATTGGACATAAACATGGGCTTAAATGCTATGTTAAATAAGGATGCTTTTCAAACTCAGGACCTAAATATTTCTAGGGATGGGCTCCTATCTGCAAAATTCAAATAAAATTTTTTTACTCACTGCCTCTGCTCCTTCCCACACCCAAGAATACTTGTTATTTGGGTTGAGCAAGTTGGTTCAGAACTTTATCAACATAAGACCAATATCCAAAAGTCAGATCTAGATCTGGATTTGTACTCTAAAATATCCCTTTTTTCTTTTTCATTCTGCCTTGTTCAGGCAACTGTCTGTGTATCTCATAATCGAAGCTATTTAAGCCCCAATACTGCGAAGAGTTCCGTGTGTTAAACTTTACATACTGAATTCAGTGGCACTATTCAGTAAATAAAATTAAGGATATGCAAAGAAGTCTTTCTCAGATCAGGTTCATATTATCTATCCTGCATTAACAGGTGCAAAAACTCACTTTTTAAAAATTACTTACACTTTTAAAAAGAACGGCAGATTTTTATACAGAAGTCTGTGAAAGGGAATATGTTGGCCATTTTGCCTTCTGAAACCATGGCTGATCTGAGTATGCACTAATCTGGTACCTGCTTTAGACTGCTGTTACATGGAATATAAATAGTCACCTGCTGTCATTCAAGTAAATCAGAATTTAGAAAAAAATAAAAATGATAACTGTCTGGAATGATCAAAGCCCTAGATTTTATTTTACACCATGATGTTGCATACTGCAGTAGTACAAAATAGTATATAGAGTGAAATATGCACAAAAGTCACCTATTAAATTGTGTTGATCTGTTCTAGTAGATCTGTCCTGAGTAAAATCTCGGTCTTAACTGCAGTTCTTCTATATTAATTGCACTATGTTACAGCTGTCTGTTATAACAGGTGGAAAAACAGCAGTCCTTTTAATGGCTGTAAATAGATTTCATTATATGTTGACATTATAAATTTTGAAACATATAGTGGAAAACTGTTGCCCTGTGATTTGGAAAAAAAAGAACTAACACTGGTATATAAAACCCAAAGCTGTAGGTTTTAAAATGTCAGTTTATATATGTTTCATTAAACCTTTTAAAATGGACACAAAAGAAGTGCTTGAGTGCTTTTAACTGTTTTGTATGTGGGCTGTCAATAACAGGCATCAGAAAGAAACATCTTCTGTGCTATTTTTTTCCTGCCATGTTTTCTAAGTTTACACGTTTGTTCCCATCAGAAGCTCAGAAAGACATTTAAGCAAAGTCTTGTTTTAAGGTTATTGTTAATCTGAAATAGACCTGAATTTTTTTGCAGCATTTTATAAATTGCAAGGTTATTTTAATAAAATATTGTTTATGCAACTGAGAGCAAGGAAGGAGCTAAAATTTTATAGGTGAATATTTTTGTGACGGCTTCTCATAAAAGTAGCATTTTTGGTGTCTGAGACAGTTGGATTCTGTTGGCAGTCAATTCAACCGTGCCAAAGTTAGATGGGAGTCTCACGTAGGATTAAATGGCATAAAACAGTCTAGCTGTTTCGGGATGCAAGTTGTTTCTTCCTGACTTATATTTCCAAAATCAACTATGGGATTGTCATATAACTCAGGTTTGAAAATCTCAGTCCCCTAAACCAGGGTGGGTCAATATATTAAGATGTGATGTATAAGGAGTTAAAGACATGGCAGTAAGCAACCATGGGTCTAATTCCTTCTAAGAAAGGCTATATTAGTATAAATAACAGACAGAATATAGGAAGAAGGTATAAGTAGAAAGAGTTTAAACTTAGATTGACTTCTGATTTTGGCCCAGTAACTCAAGCAACACTCAAAGGGTTTTCAGTCTCCCCTTGGATCCTCCCAGATTTGATATGTTGAATGATATTGGTTACATAGGTTCTTCTAGTAGCTCCTGTGGTAAACAATTGATGCCCACATTTTTTATCATTCTAAATCACACATTACCAGGTTAGCCATTTTCTATGTTCAAAACTCTGGCTCTAAAATATAGCTTGATCAGACACAGGTATTTTTAGCCAAACTCAGAAGTTGTTAATGTACTGCCTTTTGAAATTGACAGATCTGTGTCCAATGTGTATATTACAGCACCATGATGCAGACAAACATATAACTCTATGTAGCCTGCAGGAACCTCTCTATACAAATGTTTGGCAACGTCTTTGAATGTTCTCTTATCCACAGTGGTAAGTGTATGAATGCATTTTATAGATAATACCTCTGAAATTCAGTCAGCTTCTCAGATGTCTCTGTGACATTACTGGAAAAGATATCAGATCATGTCTCACTTCTGCAGCAAAATCCTGGTAATGACTCTCAGTTGTTCAAAACTTCCCTTAGGCCATCAACATCTTGTATGCAATCACATTTTATGAGCTATAGGATGAGATTTCAGTCACTTGTACAAAATAAGAGAACCCTAACCCAAGTAAGTGTGGAGATGGTCCACCTTAGACAACATGTATGAGAAGAAACATGGACAAGCTTCAGATAATGCAATTATCTAGATAACTAGATAACTTACTAGGTTATATTGCATCCAGTTAAGAATAGAATGGGGACTGGAATAAAAATCGACAATCTGCATTTACACTGATGCTTTATGGCCTTAGCAGAAAGATTCTATAAATAAACCACCTTACTGTATATCTTGCAGTTGGGTACAGTTTATTTGTGTAACTGAACTTATCCAGACAGAGGATAAGTACAGTGTGCCTTTCAAAAGACATATGGAACTTTTTCTACTTTGAGGCTTAAGTGATCAATGCCTTGTTCATCTGCATTCATAAAAAAGATTTACAAACAGATTTGGTCTGACTGCTGAACATATCTGCAGGAGTGGCAGGGCTGAAGAACCCTCTGCTATTTGCTTCCTGTGCAGTGACTGGAGACACCTGCAGTCCTTGAACTCGTGTTAAGTAAGGACTACAGGGCTAACCAGATCAAAGCGTTCAGGGAGGAGACAGAAGTCCACTAATCACACACACCCCACTAACTGAATCAGCCAGTCACAGAGGCAAACACATATTGTACATTTGTAAGAGATAGGTGTAGGAAGGGAAGTGTGAGTGAGGGTGCGTCTACACTGCACCCGTAGCTCAAAATAAGCTACTCTATTGGAGGTATGCAAATTGCGTAGCTTATTTAGAGTGTATATCAAAATAGCTTATTTCAAAATTTGGCAGTACATACAGTGCCAAATTTCAAAATAGAGCGCTATTCCAAAACATCCGTTAAACCTCATTTTAAAAGACACGGAATATCCTGAAATATGACCTCTGTCTAGATGCACCCTGAGAGTCTATGCTACTGGCAACTCCTGGTGCCTTTTGTCTAAGAGATACAATAAATCTCTGCTAGAGAGTCTGCTAACATTTCTGTCATTAATAATTTGTAAATTTGATTTATAATTTATTTTAATTGCAAATTTGTTTTTTGAAAATGTGTTTGTTATAACTATAGTAGTTCATGCACTGAGAATACCCTGCCATCAGCCTGTTGGTAGGGATACGTAAGAGACTATTCAGTAGCTGGGAATAGAAATCTCTCC